ATAACCGTTTGCAATGGTTGACATTCCTAAGGCTTAAAGAACAATGATCTGAAAAGATTTGGAAATAATACTGAGTTTACAAAAAGAAAAGAACCCATGACTTTTAAGTTACATAAATTCACCATTGAGAGAGTAATTATTGTTGTTAGCTGCCATTGAGTTAACTTCAATTCATGGCGACATTATATACAACACAATGAGACATCATTCATTCCTGCATCCTGCTTTCAATTGACAGCATGTTCAAGGCCATTTTGGAGGCTTTTATGCCAGTCATTCTCACTGAGGGTCCCCCTTGCCCTTGCTACTGCTCTACTTTACCAAACATGATGTCCACCCCCAGCAACTCTAACCCCTTATTAGGGTTCCATATACCTTATTTTCTTAGTCCTACCATGCATGTCTTTCTCAATGACATCTTCAAAGCAAGAGAGTTAGACAATGTTGTGTTGTTACCCATAAGGTTTTCAATGGCTAATTTTTGGAAGTCAATCATCAGGCTTTTCTTCTGAGTCTATCTTAGTAGTCTGTCTTAGTCTGGAACCTCTGCTGAAACCTGTCTGTCCCCCATGGGTAGTGACACTGCTAATATTTGAAATACTGGTGGCATAGCATCCAGCATCATAGCAAAGTACAAGCCACCACAGTACAACAAACAGACAGGTGGTGGAATGAGTCTGTAGAAATGGCAGCATAGCATCTTTAGACCTCCTCTGTCTTCACCAGGTGGGAGGAAAGTCAAGATCAGCATCAGCCCAAAGCTAATCCTGTGAGATAAAGGTCAGACATACTTCCTCTCTCCAGCTTTTTCTTTTCTTTTTTTAAATCAAGTCTGACACAAGTGGTCCTCCCCATGGCACTCTCTACTTCTCTGCTGGGTTTGATAATTCATTATAATGGCCACACAGAACTCATAGTCAATACTCACAGTTATGGCATTTATTAGGGAAGTAACAGGTTGCAATTCAGGATCAAATCAACTTGGAAAGAATAGGAACAACTCAGGATACAGTTTGATCAGAATCAGGACAGCTTCTTCTTGGCTGCTGGTCCCTGAACTCTTGACCTGGACCTGCACTCTCAGCCTAGTCTCTGCCCCCAGGCTCAATCAACTGTTACAGCTTTTTAGCTCTGCCAACAAGTGCCTGAAGGCATCCCATTCCCCAGCAAGTCTCCTGCCCCAAAGTGCCCAGCTCCCTCACTCTGTAGGTTGGCAGCTTCCTGTAGCCACCTTGCTTTGTGGTCTGGGAAGCCCACTATGTCTTGTGCCAGTCTGGGTCTGCTACTGCTGTTTTTCTGCCATACTTGCCACCACTTCTCACCATCTTGTGCCATCTCCAGTGTTACAGCTGTATCTCCTGGGTCCTCTGGGTCCAAAAGATATGCTCCATTTCTGCCTCTTCTTCTTGACAGTAGTGAGGTCCCTCTTTTTCCAGCCTCTGGAATTGGCTCATTTTTAGACTAGCAGGATGGCAAAACTGACCAATCCCCTCGTTAGAGTTCCATACACCTTATTTTTATATTCCCCCCCCCCAAATGTTCCATGAACCTTATTTGCATTAGCAAGCTGTCCAATTCCCTTGTTGGGCCATAATCACCTTGTTTGCATAGTCATATCCATTTTGTGAGAGGCACAAGACCATGGTTACAAGGGCCATATTGAGTAATCAACTGCAGACACTGAGAATATCTGTAAAGGAGGTGAGAATGCCCAAATCATGGCCCTGTTCTCTTGTACCAGTCAGGTAATCCATTGGCTCTGCTCCCACAACACAACTCCCACCCTGAGTACTTTTGCCAATTATACTCTACCTGTCTTAGACCTGAAGCACCTGGTATTATGGGCTGAGGCTCAGAACCCAGTCTACAAAGTCTGATTTTAATGTCAACCTTTGTATTTACTGCCAGCTTTCCATTGCTTTCTGTCTTTTATCTCATTTTGGTTTACTTTTTTTTTAAAATAAAGTTTTAATTTTTATTTATGAAAAAGTTCCATAAAGTGTGCAGAGGTTTGCAAGTTCCCTTCACATAGTTTCTCCCATCAATAATATCCTATGGTACATTTGTCAGGTCTAAGGAACCAACTGTTAACTAAACCCCAGACTTTATTTTGGTTCCTGAGTGGCACATATAGTGAAGTGCTTGGCTACTAACTGAAAGAAAGGTTGGTGGTTTGAGTCCACCCAGAGGCACCTCAGAAGAAAGAGTATTACAAGACAGCCTCTGAAAATTTCAAGCAGCCACAGCCATGAAAACATTGTGGAGCACAGTTCTACTCTGTACCACATGGGATCACCACAAGTCAGAGTCCACTCAGTAGCATCTGGTAGACTTTATTTGAATGTCACCAGTTTTTCCATGTCCTTTCCATGATGTCCATTTTCTTTTCCAGGATTGCATTTAGTCACTCAGCTCTCTTTTTGGTTTTTAATGGTCAGAAAATACACATAACATGAAACTTCCTATTAAGTAGCATTAAATATATTCATAGTGTTGTGCAACCATCACTGCTACCTAGTTCATCACCCCAACCTGGAATCCTATGCCCACTAAGCAGTAATTCTATTTTCCCTTCTCCCCAGGCCCTGACAACCACTAATTTACTTTCTGTTTCTATGATTTGCCAATTTTGGATATTTCAAGTAAATGTGATCTTTTGTATCTGACTTTTTTCACTGAGCATAATATTTTCAAGGTTCATCCATGATGTAGCAGGTATCTGGACATCATTTCTCTTTATAGCTAAATAATATTCCATTGTATGCCAATATCAAACCCCCCCCCCCCATTAATCTGTTGATGAGCAATTGGGTTATTTCCACCTTTGGCTATCGTGAATAGTACTGCTATGAACTTTTGTATACAAGTATTTGTTTGAACACCTGTTTTCAATTCTTTTGAGTATATACCTAGGAGTGGACTTGCTGAGACATATGGTAATTCTTTGTTAAGCTTTTTCAGGAATCATCAAACTGTTCCACAGCACCTTTTTACATTCCCACTAGCTTTTAGCTTACTTTGCAATGAATCCTAAAAGCATTCCTTCTATTCAGGATTGTGTGGCAGGAGGTACTGCTGGAGATTAAATTCGTTCTTGGTGTCTGTGGTGGTGAGAAAAGTACCTGGGTCTCTGGTTGGGTGCTGATGTTGCACATGCACACCCAGGGTTCATAACAGGCCTTTCATATCTTGAAGATCTGGGCCCATCAGAGGAGTTGAAACTGTCTCTCCCCAGATATGGACTCTGGGGAAGGGACCAAAAAAACTAAACCACTGCTGTCAAGTCAATTGCAACTCATGGTAACCCTCTAGGGCACAGTAGAATTGGCTCATAAGATTTCCAAGGCTGTAAATCTTTACAGGAGCAGATTTCCTCATCTTTCTCCCATGGAGTAGGTGGTGAGTTCGAACCAACAACATTTTGTTTAGGAGCCAAATGCTTTAACCACTGTACCACCAGAGCTCCTTTTGGGAAAGGAAGGAGGACATTAATTCTGAACCTTCAGAGAGTGGGCACCTGATCAGGTCCTGATGTAGCAATTTAGGGGTGACTGCCACTCTGGCAGAGTCCCTGTGCTAACTGAAATGTTGGAGGTTTGAGTCCACCTAGAGAAGACCCTATGAAGAAAGGCCTGGTCTTTTACTTCCAAAAACTCAGCCATCGAAAACCCTGTGGAGTGCTGTTCTACTCTGACATGCATGAGGTCATCATGAGTCAGAACTGACATGACAGCAACTGCTTTGGCAGCCCTGGCAGACTGACTGTGCATGGGCCTGATGGAGGTGAGCACTAGAAACCATGTCATTGAGAGCCCAAGCAAGAGGGACCTTGTCTGAGCTCAGCACAGAGGAGTCCATTTCCTCTGAAGGACAGTGCCAGGAACTAGCCAGAAAGATGTCATTGCTGACTGGACCAGCAGGAAGCCTCTCTGTGCTTTTGAAAAAGACACCCTGTGGCAGACACAAGCAAAGGCAGCTGGGACTCCTTAGGTACCTGTTCTCTACTTTAGGGAGTGAAAGCTAGATCTTTCCCCCTTTTGGACCACATAAGCCTCCCAGTTGGCGCAGGGCCTTTCCCAGGAAGAAACTGGATCACCAGGATGTGGCAGGTGGGGCTGAAACTCATTTTAAATTAACCTGACGAAATCAGGTAATTGCCCAAGTGTGCAGCCAAGCATTGTGGTGCAATTCATACTGGTTGCTGGAATTGTGAGGGAGAACGGCATAACTTTCTAGACCTGAATTTGTCCACACACCTGGGCCTTCATAGAAGTAAAGGTGCTTGACAGACAGATACACTTTTACCCCAGGATCCCAGATCCTGCCAGCCTTCTAGTTGGATGATCTTATTTCTACCTCAGGTACTGTCTGTGAAGTTTCTTGCTGGTTAGAGTTTGATATTGAAGGCTGTATTCTCCCCAGTCCTCAGTAGGAACCTAGGATAACAAGAGTATTAGAAGACAGCCTCTGAAAATTTCAGAATAAAACATATATGGTGTGAGAATCTGAAGGGAAAAATTAAAAAAAAAAAAAAGGCTAGGTGGTTGTTGTTAGGTACTGTTGAGTCAGTTCCAACTCATAGCGACCCCGTGTGCAACAGAATGAAACACTGCTCAGTCCTGCACCATCCCCACAATCATTGCTATGCTTGAGTCCATTGTTGCAGTCACTGTGTCAGTCCATCTCATGGGGGCCTTCCGCTTTTTCACTGACCATCTACTTAACCAAGTATGATATCCTTCTCCAGGGACTGTTCTAAAAAAGATGATTCTGATAGCAGTTGGAAATAAACTTTTTAATATTTCCAGAAGCCCATCAGAAATTGTCCACTTATCTGTGAAAGGTGGCAAAGGCCACTAAATGCCAAATCATTTTACTTCTGTTTGGAGTTGATTCAAGGAAGGTGGAAGGTTTTCTCCAGGCCCCAGGAAATATGGCCTCTCCTTTGTCTGTGATGGTGGGTACTCATTCGTACTTCCTTGTTTTCTGTCTCTTCCCAGTTCCTGGCCCAGTTGATGGTGTTTCTGATTAGTTTTATAAGCTCTGTGTTTTGTGGCCATTTGGGGAAGCTGGAGTTGGATGCTGTCACGCTTGCAATCGCAGTATGTATTGAACTTTCCAACACTAATTTAGGTAAAAACCATGTGTACTAGTATCCTGTTGTTGCCATAACAAATTACCACAAACTGAAGCCAACACAAATGTATAATGTTATAGTTCTGGAGATCAGTGTCTGAAATGAGTCTCACTGGGCCAAAATGTTGACAGGACTGTATTCCTTTCTGGGGACTCTAGGGGAGAATCCATCATGCCTTTTCTAGCTTCTAGAAGCTACCTCCATTTCTTGTCTCATGGTCTCTTTCTACCTTTAAAGCTAGCTGTTGTCAGTCGAGTCTTTCTCACATGGCATGTCTGATGCATATTTTCTTCTGTCTCCTTCTTTCACATTTAAGGATCCTTGTGAGTACATTGGGCCCACCTGGATAATCCAGGATAAGCTTACCTCAAGTTCAGTTGATTAGCCATCTTAATTCCATCCACAACCTTAATCCTCCTTTGCCATGTGATTTATTTGCAATTTTTGGGGATTAGGAAGTAGATATCTTTAGGGGGCCATTATTCTGCCCACCACATCATCTAATTGATAATCCATGGAGCTGTGGCTTCTGCTCTTGGTCTCACATCTGGGGGAAGAGAATAATAAAAAGGGAGTCAAGTTCTGACTCATCAGGAGAAACTCTGACTCCCTCATACTAACCCCATTGCTTGTCTGTCTTGCTGAGAATCCCTGATCTAGAAATGGAACTGGAAGATGAAATCCTAGGTCCTAGTGTCCAAACCTAAAGTTATGAAGAACCACAAGTCCTCTTTGTATCCTAAATGCAGACCCTAGTAACCGAAGATACATGTCATTGATCTCTGCCAGGGGTTGTCAACTGGCCACATAAGACCAAGGGGGAATGCCAACTCAGTCAGATCTAGTTGATGTCAAAGGGACTCCAATTCATGGCGACCTTGTGTGTCAGAATAGAACTGTGCTCCATTGGGTTTTCAATGGCTGTGACCTTTCAGAAATAGATTACCAGGACTCTTTGGTGCCTGTGGGAGGAGTTGAACCTTCAGCCTTTGGGTTAGCAGCTGAGCATGTTACCCATTTCTACTACCCAGGGACTCTTAGTCAGTTAGATGTTTCTAAAAAACTGGATTCAGTGGTTCTAGGCACTCTCGTCCACTTTCTTTTCCTCCTGCCCTGCGCACATTAACATGACCTCCCTGGTCTCCAGGCATTTCAATTTGTTACCTCTGAACTATGTAAAACTACTCTAAAACAAGTGTATACAGATTACTTTATTTTGCTTTCAGGGAGCAACATGGACAAGCTCAGGCTTAATTATTCCCCTCTTCCGAAAAAATGTTCAGAAATTATGGAGAAAATAGAAATGTACTCAGCACCCTCAGTCAGATTCTGTTTAACCAAGACTTTTCAGGGTGCAGCCAAGGAGCTTTCAAAGCTAGTGCTTCTTGATTGGACCTAGAGAGCACTGGGTATCCTAAGATGTCACTATTTGGTTTTGGAGCACTGCCCTGGGCTCCCCCAAACTCCAGGAACCCCAAGGTTTTGTTGAGGACCCCAGTCAAGGCAAGTATACCTGCAAATCCTATGATATTAGTCTTTACTAGAGATTTGCTTCTGCACTCCCAGTATCCTTTGGGGTGTTGTAAGAGGCCATGTTATGTCTGCAGCCAAGAGGACTTATCCAAATCTGTTACTATGCCACAATTGTGTGTGGTTTTTAAATTTCCCATAAGAAGAGTTTTTCCCCTAAAACTGGGAAGCAAAATGGCTAAGACTTTTTAAAAAAGAAAGTCTGTGTAATAGCCTGGCCTAATTTTTTTTTCCCATCCCTAAACTTAAGCATGGAGTCCCTAGGTGGGGCAAATTGTTAACTTGCTCAGTTGCTAACCAAAAGATTAGAAGTTGAGTCCACTGAGAGGTGTCTCAGAAGAAAGGCCTGGTGATCTACTTGTTAAAAATCAGCCACTGCAAACCCTGTAGGCAGAGACCCAGGGTGGTGCAAATGGTTAAGCCTGACCACCAGCCAAAAAGTTGGTGTTTAGAACCCACCCAGACAAGCCTTGGAAAAGAGGCCTGAGAATCTGCTTCTGAAAGGTCACAGCTTTGAAAACCCTGTGAAGCAGCTCTACTCTGCATATATGGGGTCACCATGAGTCAAGTAACTTGATAGCAATTAATAACATATATATACACACACATGAATCTCATGAATAATAAAGGAAAACCAATGGAAAAATGATCATTGAAGATGCTTCTCTTGACAAAAAAGAAAACCCTATGGAGATCTTAAAAGCTTGCAAGCAGCCATCTAGATGCAATGATGGGTCTCTCCTCATCCAGATCAAAGAAGAATGACAATTCATGGAAACAATTAGGCCTAGTGACTGGTACATCATGCTATCTGTAGCCTATACGACTATGAGACCAGAAGAACTAGATGGTGCCCGGCTACCACTGTCAACCACTCAGAGGGGGATCTATGTAGGAGATCCTGGAGAGAGAGGGAGAACGATGTGGAACAAAAGTCAAAATCGTTTGGGGAAAAAAAAGGTGGGGAGACCAGGTTTGCTGGTATGACAGAGCCTGGTAGAACCACTGAGACTATGGTCCCTAGCTGCCCTTCAGGTCTGGAATTGAACCCACACCTGTGGCTTCCAGCCAAACAAAAGACAGGCATAGGAGTTGACATTTCCCTGAGGTAGATACACTCCTTGGAGAGAACAATCATGGGAGAAAGAAGAGCTGTTTATGGCCAGGGAGAGAGCTTAGGGGACAGGAGTGCATGGAGGGATGGAGACAGGGAAGAGGTAACTATCGGGAGGAAGTAGGAGGGGAGCTGTTGCATTGGGGTAAATTGTAGTCAATGTCATAAGACAAAGTGTGTGTGAACTGCTGTATGGAAAGTGAATTTGCTCTGTAAACTTTCACCCAAATCACAATTAAAATAATGATAATAATAATAATAAAGAAAACCCTATGGAGCCCAGTTCTGCTGTGACATGTGAGGTTATCATGAGTTGTACTGGACTTGAGGGCCACTGGTTTAAATCTAAGCATGTCCTCTGAGCTGACCCAGTTGATTTGTTCAGGGGCTCCAGGCAGATGACAGAGTGGACTAAATTGACCTGTTAGTGTTGGAGGAGCTTTGCAGGCTTCAGTCCATGAAGATAGAGGAGTTGTTTTCCTTTCCTCCTTTGTTCTGTGTGGCCTTATCTCCTTGGGTTTATTTCCAGGTTATCAACGTTACTGGCATTTCAGTGGGATTTGGCTTATCTTCTGCTTGTGACACCCTCATCTCCCAGGTAAACACTCTCACATGACCTTAGATATCTCTTGAGTGTAGATGGACGAGCCCTACCAGCAAGAAGAGAGCCCCGTACTCAGTCAGCAAGCACTTGCCGCATTCTTTCAGCCATCAATTCCATTTCCCCTTGTCTGCTTTCTTTTAAATGTGGCTGGATTTCTTTCAGGATTGTGAACCAGTGTTTATCTGCATGACTGCATTATACTACATTTGAACCAAATAAGGGATGTTCTGCAAAAGTTCCTTCTTCTATCACTTATCACAGTATGAGTGTCATTGATTTTGATATAGTCCCAAACCCACTGCCGCCAAGTCAATTCAGACTCATAGCAACCCTACAGGACAGAGTAGAACTGCCCCATAGGGTTTCCAAAGCTGTAAATCTTTACAGAAGCAGACTGCCGCATCTTTCTCCCACATAGCAGCTGGTGGGTTTGAACCACTGACCTTTTGGTTAGCAACCAAGTACTTTAACCACTGCACCACCAGATCTCCTTTTGATATAATTCAGTGGTTCTTAAACTTTAGCATGCATCAGAATCACCTAGACAGTATGTTAAAACAGATTGCTGGGTCTCATACAATGGCATGCTGGTAAATGTTTAACCGTCAGCTTTGGGGTGAGAGGAGGGGAATATTTTGACTTGTAGTGTTTGCCAGTTCTTGGGGTATAAGTATTCCCTCTATGGCTGATTTCAAGCTACTACTGAGATGTCACTGAATGTGGAGCTGGGAAGCGATACGTGCAACTGGCTTTTTCATAAACTGTGCTTTCTCCAGCACACCACTGACCCTACTCCCAGTGCTGGAGTTGGGCCCAAGAATTTTCACTTCTTAGAAATTTCCAGGTATTGCAACCCTGAATGCACATCAGAACTAAATGGAAAGCTTTTAATAATTATTAATATCTGAGTCCCCGCCCTGGACCAGTTGAGTTCAGAATACCTGGAATGTTAATTTTTAGTGTTTTTATTTATTTATTTGAACTGTTTCCCAGGTGATTCTAATGGGCAGCACATTTGAAAATCACTAATTTTTCCTATCATCAGTGCCCTCCTACCTAAAGAACACTGCCAAGTTTCCAGGACCACTTGCTGCTTTAGGAGGCACAGTGGAAGGCTTTTGGGGAACAGTAAGGTTACCATTTCTGGGCTAATGAGTTTGTTTTGCTGTGTATCCAGACTTACGGGAGCCAGAACCTGAAGCATGTGGGCGTCATCCTACAGAGGGGTGCACTCATCCTGCTTCTCTCCTGCTTCCCCTGCTGGGCACTCTTTCTCAACACTGAGCTGATGCTCCTGCTCTTCCAGCAGGACCCAGATGTGTCCAGGTAAGATGAGACATATCATGGGGGGTTGGGTGTGCATCCCAGTAGGAAGATGGTATGATCCAAATTCAGCCTGTGGGAATTACAAAGTCCAGGGACAAGGCCACACCCTGAGGTGAGGGTAAGATTTCCTCAGCTGATTTCTACTTGGCCTTAATGCTTTTCATACCTGGCACCTAAGATCCTGAATCATACATTCCTGGGTGATTTCTAGGGTAAATAATTTAGATTGAAGATAGATTTTCAAACATCCTCCACATGGGACAGTAGTTTGCAAATGCTTAGTTTAGTGATGCTTGAAAATCACTAATTTTTCCTATCATCAGTGCCCTCCTACCTAAAGAACACTGCCAAGTTTCCAGGACCACTTGCTTCTTTAGGAGGCACAGTGGAAGGCTTTTGGGGAACAGTAAGGGTGCCATTTCTGGGCTAATGAGTTTGTTAATATCAACCTTGATATTAAAATCATCTTGGGTGCTTTTATAAACCATTCATACCTGGTCTCCATTCCTCCCCACATAATATTCTGATTTAATTGGTTTGGGGTGGAGCCTATGCATCAGTATCTTTCAAAGCTCCCCAGATAATTCTAGTGTATAGCCAAGTTTGAGACCCATTGATTTAAGTTGATAAAGACCTTTTGAAAGTTCTTGTCTTAGACCAATGGCTCTGAACTCAGGGGACATTTCACAATGTCTGGAGACATTTCTGGTTGTCACAGCAGGTAGGAAGTTGCTACTGGTAGAAGCCTGGGATTTAGCCAGACATCCTACAATGCACAGGACAGTCCCTCATAACACAGAATTATCCAGCCATGATGCTGAAGTTGGAGTCCTTGAGTGGTGAAAACTATTAGCATACTTGGCTGCTAACCAAAAGGTTGGAGGTTTCAAACCACCCAGAGGCATCTTGGAAGAGAGGTCTTATTATCTACTTCTGAAAAATCAGCTGTCAAAAACCCTGTGAAACAAAAGAGCAAGAAGGAAACCCAAGATCAGAGAGCCTTCTGGTTAGCAGTCAAATGCCTTAGGCACTGTGCCACCATCACTCTAGCAAGATCAGAGGAGGAACTGGAATACAGGACCAACTGTCTACCACTGCCTTTTCCAACTTGAGAACAGAAGAACTAGATGGGGCCTGGCTACTACTACTGATCATTCTAATCAGGAACACCATAGATGAATCCTGATGAAAGGGAGAGAAAAGTGTGGAACAGAAGTTCAAATTCTTAAAGAATCCAGATTTGCTGTGCCTATTGAAACTGGAGAAGTCCCTAAGACTATGGCCCTGAGTTGCTTTTCAAATCTTGAATTGAAAATATCCTCTGAAGTTACCTTTAAACTAAGTCACAGCTTATCTCAGAGTAAAGATCATCATCCTTTAGTATTACAATTCTTTTTTTTTAATTACCTGTACAAGACCAAATGGTCAATACCTATTTTAAAGCATGGAAGGGAAGATTAGGGGAAAGAAGATTAAATAAATGAAAGTGAAACAACAAGAACCAAAGTAATGAGAATGTTGACACAATGTGAAGAATGTAATCAGTGTCGTTGATCATTATGTCTAGATAGATGTAGACTGTTATGCTCCAGAGAGCAAGTTTTGCTTTGTATATTTTCATTAAAAAAATAAAATAAGAACAAAGAAAGAAAAAAATTAAATATAGGGATGATTTTAATGAAAAGTATGTAAACATCATTACCAAGAATGACAAAACATTACAGAGAGAAATTAAAGAAGATCTAAATAAATGAAGAAGTATACCACACACACACACACACACACACACACACACATATAAAGAAAACCCAATGGAGCACAGTTTAGCTCTGACACACATGGGGTTGACATAAGTCAGAATTGACTCGAGTGTACCGGTAAAGCTGAGGTTCAAAAATCCTGTCCTTGACCTAAGGACTTGGAAAAACCAAGAGAGATAATTTGAGTTATAAAATGACATGTTCTATGTGTAAATTTTTACTTTAGGTCTAGCAGTTTAAGCTATCAGTTTAGAAAGTGCCAAGAGGGCAAAAGGCAGTCAGTTTGCTTTTATTACCTTTTATCTTTTTCATTATATAGGCTTACCCAGACTTATGTCATGATCTTCATTCCAGCTCTTCCTGTAAGTTTTCAAGGGTTAAGAGGTTCTTGGGCAATATTTCTGTAGTGATACCGCCTCGGAAACCCAAGGAGGGGTCACTGTGAGTCGGATCCGACTTGACGGCAGTGAGTTTGTTTTTTGGTTTTGGGGTTCATTGATAAAAGGTGATTCTCGCATGTTCTGTTGGCTCCTTCAAGGAATTATGGCTTTAATTATGCCCTAAGGATGCAAAATTTGTCCCTTGAAGAAATATCAGGGTTAATGTGACTCCAAAAGGCTGTTGTTCTATGTTTTGGTGCAAACCAGCCATGGCTCCCAGTGTGGCCTGGCCTCACTGCAGTGTATCAAAACTAAAATGTTAACATTCATCTCTCTTGTTCTCTTGTAGGCATCCTTTCTTTATACATTACAAGTAAAGTATTTGCTCAACCAGGTAATGATTACAATCTTTTTCTTTGGGAGGCTAACAGGAATTTATACCTTTCTGGGGTTGGGCACTGTTGAACCAGCTCTGACCCATAGCAGGCCTATGTACAACAGAACAAAACACTGTCTGGTTCTGTGCCATCCTCACAATCCTTGCTATGCTTGAGCCCATCATTGCAGCCTGAGATTAGGTGTCCTGAAAATACTCAGGGACAAGGGAGGTTGAGATGGAGAGAACTTACCTTCTGGGACACTGGAATGAATACATGTTTCATGTTGTACACTCAGGACTTTGGCGTTGAGAAATCTGTAAGTGATATCTGGGAAAGGACACATTATTTTTGGCTCTGGAAAGTTCCTATCCAATTCCCACTGGAAATATTACCATTGGCAGGGTAGGATTAATGCTGTAGTGTTCTTTGGCTTGGTTTTCGGACCCAGCTCCCTGGAAGTGAATGCATGCCCATCTGCTCCTCAGAGAGAGCAGTGGCGCAAAGCTGTCTCTGAGGCTCCAGGAGCTGCCTCCACCCAGTCCTATCTAAAAGGCCCCTCTTTTCTCAATGGGGCTATGAAAATGCAAACTGAAGGACTCCTCATGTCATTCAGAAGTCTGCATATGTAACTAACAGCACTGGCGAGAGGTTCTGGGACAGTTGCCTTGACATGTTAGGTGTGAATTTATGATGCCACCATTTGTGAGACTGCTGACTTCCTTCCAGATAAATCCAGGTACATGGGGGCAGTGGGCAAAGGATCATGGCCACACAGGCAGGATTACCCAGGTATATGTAACAAGGAGGGAGGAGGGAGGGAAGAAAGAAAGGAGGATGTTTTCCATCTATTTTATGTCTTAAAAATGATGATATTACCCAGTGGTTGTGACAAAGGACTCAAGTGTGGCAACAATCGTGAGGGTGGTGCAGGACTGGGCAGTGTTTCATTCTGTTGTACATTGGGTCACTATGAGTCAAAACTGACTTGATGGCACCTAACAACAACACCATTACTCTATTCACAAAACAAGAATATTTCAAATTTTTATTAGTATTGGCTTTAAATTAAATATCTATAACATGGAAGGAAGTAAATCAGTATTTCTGAGATCTTGGACATGTTCTTCAATACATAACTTCATTTACAACAGCATAGAAACCTTTGTCCACTTGAGTGCCTTCTTCCCGGTTGTCAATCTCCCACCAAATTGGCTGGTCCTTAACCTCAAGGTTTAACATAACCTAGTGGGGAATGTGGATATGAAAATCCTTCTTTCTAATACTCTGAGGTAGAGAGGAAGAACTAGAAGTAGAAGCCATGAGCTGAGAAAGATCAGGGAGGTGTGAACTGGGTTATGGAGGACATGTAAGGTTTCCAGGGCAGATAAGACAAGGTAAGGGCACCCCAGAAAGAGAGCACCTATTTACAAGTGTGAAAAACACCAGATGTGTCCAGGATAATGTAGAAGGAAGCTGAATTAGGCTACTGAGATGGGTGGAGGGATACAGTGGATGATAGAATTTGAAAGGTAGGCTGGCCCAGGGTCAGCCTTGGGTTCTGTACTGCAGATTTTAATTTGTAGGAAGCAAATTGTCGGGGGAATGGATGAAAGTGATTGACATGTTGTTGTTGTGTGCCACTGAATCAATTTTTGACTCATAGTGACCCCATATGTCAGAGTGAAACTGCCCCATAGGGTTTTCTAGGCTGTAATCCATATGGGAACAGATCACCAAATCTTCCTCCCATGGAGCTGGTGGTGCTTAACTGTTATACCACCAGGGCCCCTGTCTACACCAGAGATGCAGAAGATCTATGATGAAGAATGAATAGCTCTGAGGGAGCAAAAAAGAGACCTGGTAGGATGAATTCTGTAGACTTAAATGGCTGGTTGGCTGTAGGGACCATGGGAGAAGCAGCAGCTATACTTTAATGCAAAGTTTCCACCTTGGGGGCCCAGCCTAGGAAGTCCATTTGTTGTGACAAAAGAGAAGCAGCTAGTTTCTTGGAAAAAGTTATTAACTGTTGTTGTGGTCATGTTTCCTTGAGGTAGTAGACCTGATGCATGCAGTGAGGCCAACAACTTGAAATTCACATCCTCAGGATGGAGGTAGTATTTGAAGGTGGAAGGGACCACATTACCCTTGGAGGGGGTATAGGGTAGGAAGAGAACCAGATAAAACCCGGGGGAATGCTTGCACTTTTAGGATGGTGGGGGTATGTCTTAGTTTGCTAGTGCTGCTGTAACAGAAATACCACAAGTGGGTGGCCTTAAAGAGCAGAAATTTCATTTTCTCACAGTTTAGGAGGCTTGAAGTCCCAATTCAGGGTATCACTAATAGGGGAAGTCTCTCTCTGTGTCACGACTAGAGGAAGATCCTTGTCTCAGCATCTGTAGCCCTTGTGTTCCTCAGTTCCTTGAATATCTCCATGTGGCATCTGTCTTCCTCAGCTTGTGTTTTCTCCTGTGTCTCATCTGCTCTTTTTATAATTCAGAGGTAATTAGATTTAAGACATGCCCTATGTTGGTATAGCCTCATTACATAACAAAGAAAATCCTATTCCCAAATAGGATTACATTCACAGGTATAGGGGTTAGCATTCCAATATATATTTTTGGAAGGACACAATTCAGTCTATAACAAGGACTTTGGAAGAGAGAGGACTAGTTGGGCCTCTTCTTATCCTGCTTTGAGGGAAGCTTTCTTGATTGTTTCCAGTGACTATCTATATGCCCATGACTCCCACATTTATATCTAACCTGCATACAGAGTCTTTCCAGCTGCTTGCAAGAGATCTATGTGTGTCGCACATTTGATCTCCTCCCCTTTCCCACAGACCTGCTCTTCTGCTCTCTTGCATTTTATCTTGATGAGTGGCATTGACTCCTTTCTTTGCTGATAACCTAGTGTTTTAGTTCTCTGGTGCTGCTATGAGAGAAATACACAAGTGGACAGAATTCTCTCACAGTTTAGGAAGCTAATAGTCTGAATTCAGGGCACTAGGTATAGGGGAAGGCTTTCTCTCTCTGTGGGCTCTGGGGGAAGGTCTTTGTCTTTTAAATATCTGTGGGCCTGGCAATTTTTGGAGATTTCCAGGTGCCATTTTCCTCTAGGTCTAGGAGCTTTTCAGCACAGGGACCCTGGGTCCATAGGACAAGTTCTACTCCTGGCTCTTCTTTCTTCATGGTAGGAGGTCCTTCCATCTCTGCTTGCTTCTCTCTCCTTTCATCTCTTGTAAAATGATGCAGACCACACTGCAGGGAAACTCCCCTTACATAGATCAGATCAAGGTTGTGACCTGACTAAGGGTGTTGCATCCACACTCTAATCCCCTTAAAACTGATTGTCTGATCATATCAGATTAAATTATGGGGGATAATTACATCATTTTGTAACTGCCAATTTACAAAACCACTGAGAATCATGGCTGCCAAAGGGGCAAGAAGGCTGCATCTTCTGACCTCCTCTAACCCCACAAAAGGAAGACAGAATCACTATCAGCAGCCCAAGGCCTATTCCTGTGAGGCTAGACATGCTGCTTCCCTCCAGCCCTTTCACCAATCCTGATACCAACTCTTCCTTCCACAATACCTACCACCTCTCTGCTGGGTTCGATAATTCGCTGCAGTGGCCACACAGAAATCACAGATTGTGGGGTTTATTAGGGAAGGACCAAGCTACAATTCAAGTTCAGGAACAACACTCAGTCTCTCTCAGCCCTGTCTCTCAGCCAACAGTCTCTCTCCCAGCAGTGTGTATCTCTTGGTGTCTCTTTCTCAGCAGTGCATGTCTCTTGGGAGGGTGTTTCTCTCAGCAGCACGTCTTTCTCAGCCAGCAGTCAGAGAGACGCCTTCTGCCTCTAGGAGGCCTCCTTTTGAGCCTGGGAGAGTGGCCAAACTAACCAATTGTAACATCAGAATTCTAAACACCTGAGAGAAAGCAAACTTCTCAGAATGTTGCTTTGTGCTACTCTCAACAGAAATACTCCAGGTGGATAACTTTAATGATCAGGAGCTACTCAGTTGCTCAGGGCAAATTCCACCATGGAGTTTACAAAGACTTACGGCTAGAGAAGCCACACCAGGTAATTTACTACACCACAATGGCCCAGCCAAGTTGACACATATTTTTGGGGAATGCAATTTAGTCCATGATACCTACCTTTGATACAGTCTGTCTTTTCATTCACTGCTACATCTGATCAGCCATCTGGTCCGGTAGGGTCTACCTGCTCCTCCCCATCCCCTTTGCTACCTCCTTAATTCATTTATTATTTTCCTGTATATTCTTTCAGAAATGGGCAGTGGTTGTTCTGTGGTAGAATTCTTGCCTTCTGGGTGGGAGACCCAGGTTCATTTTCTGTCCAGTGCACCTCAAGTACAGCCACCATTCATCTGTCAGTGGAGTCTTACTGTTGCTGTAATGCTGAACAACTTTCAGAGATGCTTCCAAACTAAGAGAAATTAGGAAGAAAGGCCTGGTGAATGACTTCCAAAAACTAACCAGTAAAAAGCCTATGGATCACAATGGTCTGATACTGTCATTCAAAGGGTTGCTGTGAGTCGGGGCCAACTCTGTGGCAGCTAACAACAATAGTCTTTTGGTAGGATTTTAACTAGTCTCCCTGCTGCCAGTCTTTTTCTTAAGGCAATCAAACAACACAGTACTTTTTGTTCTGTCATCCTGAGATGTAAATCTTATTCACCTAACTCCCTTGCTAAAAATGCATCAATGTCTCCAGATCAATAAATGATGCACATGGTGATCATCCAAGAAAGACCCTTGACCTGATCCTGTTAGCCTTAGGCTACCAGAGGCAAACCTGCCTCCCATCAAAGTCAGGTTTATTGACCCATCACATTGAGGGAGACCTAGCACCAGAGGAACTATAGACAACTCAAAGGAAACCACACAAAGGAAAAAGATTAAGTTGTCATAAGGCTGTGAAGAAAGATGGAGTGTAGATGAAGTTTAAACAAAGCCACGTTTTGATGGGCTCAAAGCAAAACAGGTCCGTAAGTAAAGTATCAATATCAGATCCATGCTGCAAAGTGGACCTGGTCCTGTTTCTTTGGGAACTACAAAGTTAAGATGGGTGTAGAATATAGACATAATGTAGACTATTGTGTCTAGAAACTGTTATGACACTTTGCAGCTGGGTTGGAAATTGAAGATGCTTTTCTGTGTTAGAGACTTGGATCCTCCAGGCAAGAAGGATGTTTTACTCTTACTGATATAATTTCAAACAGCAAAAATGCTAATAGTCTAGATTTTAGATAACAGAGTTGCTTAAGTAAGAAAGTAGGAAGTAGTCATTCAAAGAAGGAGTTGGGATGACGCTTGCAGTGTGATGTTGAGAGAAAGAGTATTACCCGTTGACTTTTCATTTTGCTTTATCTGTGTCTGTTATTGCAGCCCGACAAGTGACAAGACAGATTGTTACTTTCTTAGACTGCTGTAATTTTATTTTTTTACCCTGAGAAAGTCTTAAATTGAGATGCAGTATAGACTTGGCTTTTCTCCTGTCTCAGTACCTGTGAGGAGAGTCAGATGTGAAGTGGTTATTCCACACTGCAGGGGGCAGTGGTGGTTCAGTGGTGGAATTCTCGCCTTCCTTTCAGGCGTCCAGGGTTTGACTCCTGGCCAGTGCACCTCCTGTGCAGCTGCACCTGTGTGTCAGTGGAGGCTTTGGGGTTGCTCTGATGATCAGTAGATTTCAGCAGAACTTCAAGACTAAGATGGACTAGGAAGAAAGACTGGTGATCCAAGGTCCCCATGAGTTGGAGGCTGACTTTTCAGCAGCTGGCAACAACATTTCACACTCCAGTTTCTTAAGATCTTTTTTGGTACATTTTCTGAATTTCAATATTGGTCAAGAAAGTTTCATATTTCCATTCACTATACAATGCCAAAATGACTTGTTTATACCCTTTAACCCCTTCCAGTCCTTGCACAATTATAGATGAGTGATTTCTCTTCTTACTCCTCTGTTGTTTTTTTATTATCTACCCATCTCTCTCTGTGGGCAGAACTACAAACTGATGCCTCAAAGAGAGGAGAGATGGGAGGGTGGGGAGGTAAAGGCAGCAAGGCAGGGGCAGCAAGGCCATGCAATTGCAGTTAAGTCATTTTAGTATGCCTGCATCCCTTGCTTGGGCATGTCAGTTAGAGCCTACAGTGTGTTAAGAGGGTAGAAAACAGCTGTTCTGTTCTGTGAATCTAAAGATAGTGTGTGGTTTTCTCAACTTGTTTCAGGGAATCATATTGCCCCAGATCATAACTGGAGTTGCAGCCAACCTTGTCAATGCCCTCACTAACTATCTGTTTCTCCATCAACTGAACCTGGGAGTGATGTGAGTCCAACTGATTCTTGGTACAGGGAGAAAGAATGCCTTGCATGTGGCTTTTTCAGGGAGGAGAAAAGTGGGACTTTTGGCTGATTAGATATTGTGTACACATGTGGTTTCCTTCTTGTCCCTCTCTGGAAACACTTTGAAGACAAAGACCTTGGAGCCTGCTGTAGGCTTCATGGCAAGAAATGAATCGCTCATCTCAGTGCTGGGCGAGGTTGGGAGAGAAAGGAGGATGGAGATCTGTCTTTCACTATTTTCCTTCTTTCCAGGGGTTCTGCACTGGCAAATACTATTTCTCAGTTCACCCTGGCTCTCCTCCTCTTTCTCTATATCCTCTGGAGAAAATTACATCAAGCGACATGGGGAGGTAAAGACTGCCTTTTATCTTCCCACTTGGACATTTGTCTTGTTGAGTTCCAGCCAGATGCCCAAGCATATTGGTAAGTGGGCTGTGTCTGTTCTGACTGCAGGGTGGTCCTTTGAGTGTTTGCAGGACTGGGCCTCCTTTCTCCATCTGGCCATCCCCAGCATGCTCATGCTCTGCATCGAATGGTGGGCCTATGAGATCGGGAGCTTCCTGAGCGGTCAGTGTGAGGACAGATGATGAAGAGTGATGGGAGTATGGGGGCCCTGTCTAAGAGCAAGGAGCCCTGGCAGCACAGTGGTTAAAGTGCTTGGCTGCTAACTGAAAGGTTGATGGTTTGAACCTACCAGAAGCTCTGCTGGAGAAAGATGTGGCAGTCTGCTTCCATAATGATTTATAGCCTTGGAAACCCTATGGGGTAGTTCTATTCTGTCCTATAGGGTCGCTGTAAATTGGAATCCACTAAACAGTAGTGGGCTTTGGGTCTAATAGCAAAGGTCCCTGGGTAGCACAAATGGTTAATGCACTCAGCTACTAACTGAAAGGTTGGCAGTTTGAACCCACTGAGCAGTACCACAGAAGAAAGGCCTGGCGATCTACTTCTGAAAGATCATAGCCATTGAAAACCCTATAGAACACAGTTCTCCAATGCAAATGGGATTGCATAAGTCAGAATGCACTCAACAGCAGTGAGCTTGGTTTTTTGGCTGGTTTAAGGACAAGAAGTTACTTGTCTCTTACCAGGTATCCTCGGCATGGTAGAGCTGGGAGCACAGTCTGTTGTGTATGAACTGGCTGTCATTGTGTATATGGTAAGTGTAAGAGCTGATTGTGTGAGGTAAGTCAAATATTTTCCTTGCTTAGTATTCTAAAGGAATTCTGAGATTCAGTATAGGTGTTGTAACATTAAGTAATAACTTATGAAATGGCATACAAGGTAAAATTTCATCCTAAAGCTTAGGAGGATCCTTTTGATATGGTTGAAGAGGGGTTTAGGCAAAACCCCAACTGACCTGCTCATTGCTGGTTCTCCCTCTCCTAACATAGTTCAAATTTGAAAGATTTGATTTTACTTGCACATTTTCCCAAAAAAATGAGAATCTTTTCTAGTTGTCTCACACAAATGAATTGAGGGACTAGATGGATAACATAAAGGAGTGAGGTGGTTGGGTATACAGTAAGGTACCCCGAGCTAGTTGCTCCTCAGAGTCCACAGCTGGTGCAAAGGGTTAATGAGCTTGGCTGCTGATTAAAAGGTTGGAGATTCAAATCCATCCAAAGGTGTCTCAGAAGAAAGTCTTGGCATTCTACTTTTGAAAACTCAGCCACTGAAAATCCTCTGGAGCACAGGTCTGTCTGCTGTACGTGAGTCAGAATCAACTTGACCATCCCTGGCACTTGTGTTTCACCAAGCCCAAGTCCTGTCTGGTTCTGATGTCTTTTAAAATGCTGGGAGCCTAGCCACACACTTCGGCCTGAGACTAGTTTGCAGTCTCTACATTTAGAATAGAAGCTGCTGTGTTGATATAAGTATTGATTTAATACATAAAGCCATTTTCATTATTTTTCCATTTTGCCTACTAATTGAAATGAATTTCCAGTTAATATTTACAGTAAAACAAAATCAAGAAGTCTCTAATGACTGGAGCCTTGTCATATTTCCTGTTCTCTTTAAGAATTCTCCTGAGAAGAGTATGGAGGGATGGACACTGCGAAGAGGTAACTATGGGGTGGAAGTGGGAGGGGAGCTGTTGCATTGTGGTAAACTATGGTCAGTGACATGAGACAAAGTATATGTGAACTGTTGTATGGAAAGTGAATTTGCTCTGTAAATCTTCACCCAAATCACAATATTAAAAAAAAAAAAAAGGAA